TCCTGACCTCAACCCCATAGAACACCTTTGGGATGAATTAGAGTGGAGACTGCGAGCCAGGCCTCCTCCCCCGACATCAGTGCCTGGCCTGACAAATGTGCTTCTGGAAGAATGGTCAAACCTTCCCATAGACACCCTCCTAAACCTTGTGGACGGCCTTCCCAGAAGAGTTGAAGCTGTTATAGCTGCAAAGGACGGGGCCAACTCAATATTGAACCCTACGGACTAAGACTGGGATGCCCAGGGGGCGGACTGACTATTTGGGAACTCGGGCGCTGCCCGAGGGCCCAGAGTCAGTAGGGGGCCCCATGAGATGTCCCTGGTACTTTTCATAGGCTTTTTTGGGTGTGGTTTGAGTGTGGGTAATGACACAGGGGCCCCATGATCCCCTATTGCCGGGGGCCCCATGAGTTGTCAGTCCGCCCCTGGGGATGCCATTAAAGTTCATGTGTGTAGAAAGGCAGGCGGCCCAATACTTTTGGCAATAGAGTGTATAATGCACAGAACAGCTTGCAGATTTCAGCAGTGAGGAGTTAGCACCCCCTTATGGTAGTGGCTGGTAGTGAGTGCTCCTTTAAATGTTGTTGGTTGGTATGTGCCCTCTTAATGTTAGTGATCAGTGCCACATTAAATTAAAGGTCAGTGGTGTCCCCCCCCATAACATTGGTGATGTCAGTGTGCCCCTTTAAGGTCCATATGCTCCTGTGTGCCCCCTTGCTGTGTTCAGTGAAGAACAGTGTGTCTCCCTTTCGTTGGTGGTCAGTAGAAGCAGTTAGACTCACAGGAGCAGGCAGAAGAAGCGCCGGCTAAAAAATGGGGACTATCAGGTGTATCGGCATAGAGGAAGTAGGGGTGGCCTCTCAGATTGTGTTTACTTTTGTGAATGCAGTGATTGGTCATCACAACAATCACAAGACACAGAGCAGCTCCAATCTGCTCCATGCCTTTTGTCTGCCACGGGAGCTCTTTAATGACCGCTTCATCGCAGAGATTTAAAGCGGTATTAAACCCCAAACCAAAATGTCCTATATTGCACCTTACCAATCATTAGATGTGGTGGCTGCATTAGTTTTCTTCTTTTAGGCTTTCTTCCTTCTGTATTCACCTGGTGATCTGGCCAGTAACACACCTCCTGTATTAGAACCCCCCCCCCCCACTCTGGATGAAGGAGCACAGGGGGGCACCTTTGTACAGCAGCATTGTTAATCGGAGGGGAGTGTTATGTGGACTAGCAGATTTAAATACACTAACAAAATGAAGCCAAACTCCAGCTCACACTTTATAAGCAGTTACAGCAAACATTTTATTTTTTCCTTTTGGGATAAAGGTTTTACATAAACAAAATCTGATCATTGTAAGTACCCCTGCCAGTGGTCAATGGTTTGTCTCCACCCTGTACCTGATTCATTTGGCGTGACAACTTGTTCTATTGAAAACAACAGACTTACTGGCTGCATCACCAGGCGAAAATCGAAGAAACAGACGTCCACCTTTCCCAATACAGCAGTATGGAGGGAGTTAAAGAGAGATGGGTGGTGCTCTCCCATTCATCTCTATGATACTGGTAACTGTGGGAACAGTGCTGGAAAACTGAATTGAAACAAACTCTAGCACAGTGCAGTGTAAACGAAGACTGTGATGCATCTCAGGTTGATCTGATGTTTGTTATAAAATCTATTGGGGGGGGGGGGGGGCACGGTTAGAGATTTTTATACATTCTTACAAGTGTACTATAACAGGAAAACTCACCAACAAATACAATCTTGGGCACGTACTGGCCATCCAGGAGCAGGTTTTTGTCTGTGGGGTCATACTAGAGGAAATCAAATGAGAAGACGTTAATCCTCCTTGACAAAAAGTCTTCAAGGAAAAACCTCTATTTTTCTGCATCTGCAAAAATCCAAAAACTTTTAGAACCTTTGTATGGGGTGTATGGGGTGTACGGGGTGTAACAGGGATGTACAGGGTGTTTGGGATGTAAGGGATGTATGGGGTGTAAATGGGATGTACGGGGTGTACAGGGATGTATGGGATGTACAGGGGGATGTATGGGATCTACAGGATGTACAGGGATGTACGGGGTGTATGGGATCTACAGGGATGTACGGGGTGTATGGGATGTACAGGGTTTATGGGATGTATGGGATGTACGGGATGTACAGGGTTTATGGGTTATAAGGGGTGTATGGGATATACGGGATGTACAGGGTTTATGGGATGTAAGGGGTGTATGGGATATAAATGGATGTATGGGGTATATGGGATGTACAGAGATGTACGGGGTGTATGGGATGTACAGGAATGTACGGGATGTACAGGGTTTATGGGATGTACGGGGTGTATGGGATGTACAGGGATGTACGGGGTGTATGGGATCTACAGGGATGTACAGGGTGTATGGGATGTAAGGGGTGTATGGGATGTATGGGATGTACGGGATGTACAGGGTGTATGGGTTGTAAGGGGTGTATGGGATGTACGGGGATGTACAGGGTTAATGGGATGTAAGAGGTGTATGGGATGTACATGGATGTATGGGGATGTACAGAGATGTAGGGGTGTATGGGATGTACAGGAATGTACGGGATGTACAGGGTTTATGGGATGTACGGGGTGTATGGGATCTACAGGATGTACAGGGATGTACGGGGTGTATGGGATCTACAGGGATGTACAGGGTGTATGGGATGTACAGGGTTTATGGGATGTAAGGGTGTATGGGATGTATGGGATGTACGGGATGTACAGGGTTTATGGGTTGTAAGGGGTGTATGGGATGTAAGGGGTGTATGGGATGTACGGGATGTACAGGGTTTATGGGATGTAAGGGGTGTATGGGATGTACGGGATGTACAGGGTTTATGGGTTGTAAGGGGTGTATGGGATGTAAGGGGTGTATGGGATGTACATGGATGTATGGGGTATATGGGATGTACAGGGATGTACGGGGTGTATGGGATCTACAGGGATGTACAGGGTGTATGGGATGTACAGGGTTTATGGGATGTAGGGGTGTATGTGGGATGTACGGGATGTACAGGGTTTATGGGATGTAAGGGGTGTATGGGATGTACGGGATGTACAGGGTTATGGGTTGTAAGGGGTGTATGGGATGTAAGGGGTGTATGGGATGTACATGGATGTATGGGGTATATGGGATGTACAGAGATGTACAGGGTGTATGGGATGTACAGGAATGTACGGGATGTACAGGGATGTATGGGATGTATAGGAATGTATGGGATGTATGGGGTGTACGGGATGTACGGGGTGTATGGGATGTACAGGAATGTACGGGATGTATGGGGTGTATGGGATGTACAGGAGTGTACAGGGTGTACGGGATGTATGGGGTGTATGGAATGTACGGGATGTATGGGGGGGTGTGGGGGTATGGGATGTACATGGATATATGGGATGTACAGAGATGTACGGGGTGTATGGGATGTACAGGAATGTATGGGATGTATGGGGTGTATGGGGTGTACAGGAGTGTACAGGGTGTACGGGATGTATGGGATGCACGGTCAAGCAGATATACTGAAAGGAAGCTTCAATGAACTACCACAGAGCTCCACAGCACCGTGATAGTTCATTGACAACTACAAGCTGACACCCGCTAAGGCTGCCGGGACTTGCAGTTCATTCATTCACGGAACTCTTTGAAGGAATGATGGGGCCGTGTGGGCGAAGTGGCTGTGGCTATGGGAACATGTTACTCACTAAAAACAGGTGTAACATGTTCCCAAAGGTGGACTTATCCTTTAATTCACAAAAGGAAGTCACAAGCAAGTCACACGACAATGGGGGTCACAGCACTGTGGGCCGAGCCTGAATTGCCATATACTTGCAAAGGAGCTTTGTGAATTACTCACACATGCGTGTCTAACATGTTTCCTGAACTTGGAACTTGTGCCTTCAGGAAACGTGTCAGATCCCCATGTGGGGGTTAACATTGGTATAGTAGAGCTTACGCAACAACTGCAGCTCCCTGAGCATGGGAAAGGGCGGTGGAAGCCTAAATCTCCAGGATCTACCAAAAGTTGCAATACTAAATACTAGTTTTGGGCACTCTGGCCCTTTAATTGTACTTTATAGGGGGCTCCCTATCCTACTTTCACCCCCTCTACAGGACAGACAGGAGAAGACACACAGCTGATCCCAGCCAGGGACAGTGACTCTCACCCCCTCTACAGGACAGACAGGAGAAGACACACAGCTGATCCCATCCAGTGACTCTCACCCCCTCTACAGGACAGACAGGAGAAGGCACACAGCTGATCCCCGCCAGTGACAGTGACTCTCACCCCCTCTACAGGACAGACAGGAGAAGACACACAGCTGATCCCCGCCAGTGACGCTGACTCTCACCCCCTCTACAGGACAGATGGGAGAAGACACACAGCTGATCCCCGCCAGTGACAGTGACTCTCACCCCCTCTACAGGACAGACAGGAGAAGACACATAGCTGATCCCAGCCGGTGACTGAGAGTCTCGCCCCCTTTACAGGACAGACAGGAGAAGACACACAGCTGATCCCAGCCAGTGACAGTGACTCTCACCCCCTCTACAGGACAGACAGGAGAAGACACACAGCTGATCCCCGCCACTGATCCCCAGTGACAGTGACTCTCACCCCCTCTACAGAACAGACAGGAGAAGACACACAGCTGATCCCCGCCACTGACAGTGACTCTCACCCCCTCTACAGGACAGACAGGAGATGACACACAGCTGATCCCCGACAGTGACTCTCACCCCCTCTACAGGACAGACAGGAGAAGACACACAGCTGATCCCCACCAGTGATGTTCCCGTACTCACAATGACATTGAGGAGGATTAATTCTTCAGCTAGTTTCTGGATTCCAATGTGTTCAGAGAATGCTTTCTTCAGGGCTGCAGGGAGCAGATTGTAAAATAGTTACAATGGTATTTATTGTGCAATAAATTATCGATCACCATTCTATACCAATATACACATCTAGGCAATCTGCGCTCCTTCCACCCTCCCACACCGGGCGCACCATTCATCTATTTCTAATAAAATCCCACATAATGCATTCCGTTTTTATTACTGCAGTTCAGGAAATAATTGAATTTATTAAATATAGCCTAATATTGGGATAAAGGATTTCTTTAATTTACCCCCCCCCCCCCACCACCACCACATTAGGCTTTCCGTGCTATCTGTGTCCCCGCAGGAGAGATTAGCCCGTCCATTTGTCCTGGTGACCCCATCGATGGGGAATCCAAAATGTTACAGCTGTAACCAGAATGGAAGGTAAAAGACACATCCAGAAGGAGAGATTTGTTCTCACTTCCTGTTGTGTCTCCAGTAGGGAAATCTCTCCAATGGGTAACAGACAGACAAAGAGGAACAAATAAATAAAGGAAAAATAAATACATAAAAGTGAAAAATAGTTAAATAGAAAACATAAATCTGGAAACGTCTGGAGGAAAAGAGATTTCATCTCCAAATACGGAAAGGTTTCTTCACAGTGAGAGCTGTGCAAATGTGCAATAGACTCCCTCAAGAGTTGGTTTTGGCCAGCTCAGTGAATTAGTTTAACCCCTCGCCCTCTAGAGGATTCCTCCCCCCCCCCCCTTCCTGACCAGCCATTTTTTTTGCGATACAGCGCTGCGTTATTGCACGATCATGCAACGCTGCACCCAAATTAAATTTACGTGCTTTTTTCTCGCAAACAGAGCTTTCTTTCGATGGTATTTGATCAACTGTCCGTTTTTAATTTTTTGGACTATAAAAAGACTGCCAATTTAGAAAAAAAAACATATTTTTGACTTTTTGCTATTAAACATGTCAAATAAAATTTTTTTTCAAATCTTGTCATAAATTTAGGGCAAAATGTATTCTGCGACATGTCTTTGCTAAAAAAAAATTCCAATACATGTAAATTAATTGGTTTACTTGAAAGTTATAGCATTTAAAAATGGCGGTATAGATACTGGGATTTCATTTTTTTTTTTTTACTAGTAATGGCGGCGATCAGTGACTTATAGTGAGACTGTGGTGGGCATTCTGACACTGGGGGGGAACTTACTAACTGCCACTGACATCCCCAGTGACACCAATACAGTGATCAGTGATCAGTGCTAATAAAAAGCACTGACACTGTACTAATGGCAATGGGCAGGAAGGGGTTAACATGAGGTCCGATCAAAGGGTTAACTGCATGCTGTGTGCTGTTTTACTATGTATGCTGTGTGTGTGTTTCACTGTTAGCACTCTGCTTTGTTTGGTTCTGCTATGCAGAGCCATACAAAGCAGTGTGCAGAAGCTGACAGGGGAGAGATCTGTATTGTTTATGCACAGTGCTCTCCCCCATGGGAGAGATCTCGGCGATCACCGGGTGCCGGTGACTAATTACTGGCTGGGACCCAGTGATTGATGGCCGAGGCTTTGAATATATATGTGATTTTGTGTACCCGTGCCGCCCTGTAGCAGTATTTCTGCTATAGGGTGGTGCAGAACCGGTTAAAAAAAGTCCTGCATTCTTTCTTGGATACACAGAGTATAACATTTATAGGTAAAGTTGATCCAGGGAATATCCGATTGCCTCTCGGGGGATCAGGAAGGAATTTTTTCCTCTGCAGGAGCAAATTGGATCGTGCTTTGCTGTTTTTTTTTCCCTTCCTCTGGATCAACTGTGGGTGTAGGATTATAACTTTTTTTTTTTTTGGTTGAACTGGATGGACTTTTGTCTTTTTTCATCCAGACTAACTATGTAACTATGTAAATACACAAGGTCCCATTCCCGATTTGGGATTGGGGGCAGAATCACAGCGATTCTGCCCAGGACTCTAAATCACTGCACAACGGGTGATGTGCGATTGCAATGTGATTCTGCCGCGATTGTCACGTGAAAGAAAAAAAAAAAAAAAAACCGCACCACATTTGTAGCAAAGCACACCTTTGAAAATAGCGTGAAGCTTGTCCCCCGTAAAGGAGCAGGGACTTCTTTTTTTGGCGACAATTACGCACAGGGCAGTTCTTTCAATTGACAAGGCTGGCCCTATGCGCCACCAGAATCACAATGACAATCGAGCTTTGAAAAATCGCATGGAGGGAATGCTCGTTCCTGTTATGCGATTATGTGCGTGGGGCCTTAATAAAAATGAAAAAGAAATAAAAAGGAAAAAGAAATCTATATATGACCAGGGGTGGACTGACCATTTGGAAACTCGGGCACTGCCTGAGGGCCCGGGGTCAGTAGGGGGCCCCATGAGATGCCCCTGGTACCTTTTTCATAGGCTTTTTTGAGTTTGGGCAAGGACACAGGGGCCCCATGATCCCCTATTGCCCGGGGGCCCCATGAGTTGTCAGTCCACCCCTGTATATGACCATGATAAAGAAATCGAAGCCTTACAGCTGACAGGGGTTTTAACCATTTAAACGTCTCTTTACTTCTGTAGCACATTGAGCTGAGTTTGATTGACGCATGCTCAGAACAACGACAGCCTCCTGGATAGAGACTGTGAACAGGAAAACAGGTGACACCAGAAATGCCATTTCATCTGCTATTTCTCCCTGGTGTCACTCGGATGTGGCCACTTTACAGGGAAAAGATATTACTTACATTGTGAATGTGGACAGTCTTCTCTGTGGTTAATCACCATCAAAGGCTTATTTCTGTAAAACGAGAACAATTCTCATTATAAAAATATTTATCAGTACACAAATGACTATAAATAAATAAAAGTCAGTTCTGTTATAATTATGTACAATATCGTGCACATGGGCGGACTGACAACTCATGGGGCCCCAGGCCCTCGAGTTTCCAAATGGTCAGTCCGCCCCTGATCGTGCAACATGTGAAAAGCTGGACTTTGCATTGTAATTAAATAATATATAAACGCATTGGACCCCGGTCGTACTGGGTGTGACTTGGCATGCGATTTTCATGCCATGCGACTTGCAGCTTGGATGCCAAGTCGCACCCATTTGTCCGCAATTATGACGGTCATATCGGTGCGGTTCTGACTTGGTCGAAGCCGCACCGATTTCTAAAGTAGTACATGCAGTACTTTTGGTGCGATTTGCATAGACATCTGCGTCAGACGTCTTGCAAATCGCACCTGAAATCGGCATCTCACCCAACTTTGACAATGTGGGACTTCGCTGTGAGTCGCACGATTTCAAAGTCCGGCTTGATGTGACCGGGGTGTAATACAGCATTATACTCGTCATTGTTAATGCAATACCACGGCTGGCCATACATTATACAATTTTCTTGTAGATTTACCAAAACCAGGGGCGGACTGACCATTTGGAGACTCGGGCACCGCCCGAGGGCCTGGGGTCAGTAGGGGGCCCCATGAGATGCCCCTGGTACCTTTTTCATAGGCTTTTTTGAGTTTGGGCAAGGACACAGTGGCCCCATGATCCCCTATTGCACGGGGGCCCCATGAGTTTTCAGTCCACCCCTGACCAAAACCACACATATTATGAGGTCAAACCTAAACAGTTTCTATTTGTGTGCAATCAGGCAGGCCCTTGCACTACATAGTTGAAGGTAAATCTAAAAAAAATTGTATAATGTATGGGCAGCCTAAGGCTAGGTTCACACCTATGCTGGTTGCGTTTGAGCCGTTTCTGCACTGCGTTGCATTTTGCACCTGCGTTTTTGACACGTTTTTTGCCTCCTTTTTTTTTTTTTTTTTTACATTTTTCTTTTTGCTAGGCAGATTTAAAGTGCAAAATGCAGCAAAAATGTAGCAAAACTGCAATACATGCTTTTCTGCAGCATTTCCATTGAAGTCTATAGAACCAAAAACGCAACTTTTTGTGTTCAAAAAAGTCCCCTACCCTTTCCAAAAAAGCACACGGGTGAAAACGTGCAGGTGTGCCCCATAGGAAATCATGTTAAAATGGACTGCTGTACGTTTCTGCAAAACGCTGCGGAAAATGCTTAGGTGTGAACCTAGGGTGACATATGCTTTAAGTAGCAGGGGCGGACTGACCATTTGGAAACTTGGGCACTGCCCGAGGGCCCGGGTTCAGTAGGGGGCCCCATGAGATGCCCCTGGTACCTTTTTCATAGGCTTTTTTGAGTTTGGGCAAGGACACAGGGGCCCCATGATCCCCTATTGCCCGGGGGCCCCATGAGTTGTCAGTCCGCCCCTGTTAAGTAGGAAGGTGTTTTGCTATTACATGATCCTGGTGTTACATTAAAAAAATACCCCCCCCCTCCCCCCACCATTTTTCTAGCACTGCAATACCACTGGCAGTATATCAAAAAGAGGAATGGATTTTAGCAGGACACTGCTGGGGGGGGGGGGGGTGCCAGAACAACTGCCTCCAGAATGCTGAGAAGTCCTGGATGTTGCCCTGATTGTAATGGAGCAAAATTAATTTTTCTTTGTCAAATTAAAGTGTAAACAATGTACCCTATTGATAAAAAAAAATAAAAAAAAAAAAAATAATAAAAACGCAATAATTTTTTTTATTATTATTATTGTATTTTTATTATATTTATTTTTTATTTTATTAATAATGATAATAATAAAAAATTATTAATTAAATAATACATCTAATAATATTTTTTTTTTTGTTAAATAAAATTCCAAAATGATTATACAGCAAGTTCTACTTTTCCTTCCACTTAGGAGTTAATTCTGTGGTTTCTTTTTTTTTTTTCTATGGAAATCATGACAATAAAAATACTTTTTATTTCAGTGCAATACTGTAATCTATCACAAGATGGGAGCCGTGGCCCTATAAATACTAATGCCCTGGGACTGACCCTGTCTTGGCTTTGAATAAGGCTTCCTCATAGGTCTGCACCCAATCCAGTTGGTCACCCCACCCTGCAGAAAGAGAAAACACAAAAAAAAAAAGAAATGAGACAATGAAGTTTTAGTTGCATATTTGCTGCACATGAAGGCAAACAAAGCAAAGCCCGGGCAGGGCGCTCTCGGTCCATGGAGCATAGTCCCACTTCTAGGGAAAGCCTGCCGGCAAGAACCAGGAACAAGGATGTGAAGGCCAGAAGACACAGCTAGGGGGACTAGGAGTGTTGCAGAACGACTTTTCAGATGTTTTGATAAGTTTTGCTTCGTTCCATTCTTACCTCTGGATAGTGTTTGAGGGCGATCGGGTTTTGGAGTGGTATTGTCTTCTGCAGGGGCATCTTTGGCCAGTGACAACGAGGTAGCCACAAGTAAAATGAATACGGACTTGACTATGGAATCCATGTTGGGTGCTAAAAAAAAAAAAAAAAAAAAAGTTGTAGCATAGTTTGGACCTCCAGCTCATGATGGTCGGGAATGGAAAATGCCAACAATAAAACCTAAGGCAATCTAGAGAAAGGAGCAGTGTGGAACCCGATCAAAGTTGGTGCTACTACAGTGATAGCTACATTCTTCCGTGTTTATTATTTATTTCAGTACTTATATATCGCCATCAATGTACGCAGCACTTTACATATATATTGTACATTCACATCAGTCCCTAACCCTCAAGGGGTGTACAATCTAAGGTCCCTAACTTACATTTATACATACACTTACTAGGGCCAACTTAGACAGGATCCAATTCACCTACCAGCATGTCTTTGGAGTGTGAGAGGAAACCGGAGTACCCGGAGGAAACCCACACAGGCACAGAGAGAACATGCAAACTGCAGACAGGTGGTGCCGTGGCTGGCATTCGAACCAACGACTGCCCTTCTGCACTCTGACCACAGGTGGGCACTCACTCTGCACTTCTGCCATTTATAGAACGCTTTGCATTTCTTTCAATGAATACAAGGCTTTCTCTGACTGGATGAAGTGGAGATGGTGATGTTACCGCCCCCTTCTACTCCACCCTGTCCAATCAGATGACCTTGTATTCATTAAAAGAAATTTGAAGTATGAAGTGAGCTCCCCCAGTGGTCAATATGCAGATAGGCAGCAGCACATACAGGACCTGGTTGACCACGGTTATCCCTGTAGTAGCGCCGACTACTACACTGATTATCAGCTGCCCCAGAAGCCCATCAGGTATGAGATATGCATACTTACATTGTGCCAAGCTGGAACAAGGTAAGTATGCAATACAGATAATTCTGCAAGTTCAACTTTAATTTTTTTTTTCATTTGCTCTGAAGAGTTTATTGTATAGCAATGGTCTCCAAACTGCAACCCACAGACCGGATGTGGCCCTTTGCCAGATTTTCTCTGGCCCTTGGGTGCCCTGTTCATCCCATTGACACCAATTATGGGGCACCATTCCTCCACTGACACCAACGATAGGGCACTATTACTCCACAGATACCAAAAATGGGGCACTATTCCTCCCACTGATACTAATAATGGGTATGGGTAATGGTAACAATGACCAATGATTGGCACTATTCCTTCCACTGACACCAATGATGAGGCTGTATTCCTTCCACTGACACCTATGATTGGGCACTATTCCTCCAACTGACACCAATGAAGAGGCAGTATTCCTACCACTGACACCAATGAAGGGGTACTATCCCTTCACTGACACCAATTATGGATCACTATTCCTCCAACTGACAACAATGAAGGGGGCACTATTCCTACCACTGACACCAATGAAGGGGTACTATCCCTTCACTGACACCAAATTATGGATTACTATTCCTCCAACTGACAACAATGAAGGGGCACTATTCCTACCACTGACACCAATGAAGGGGTACTATCCCTTCACTGACACCAATTATTGATTACTATTCCTCCAACTGACAACAATGAAGGGGCACTATTCCTACCACTGACACCAATGAAGGTACTATCCCTTCCCACTGACACCAATTATGGAGCACTATTCCTCCAACTGACACCAATGAAGGGGCACAATCCCTCCCACTGACACCAATGATGAGGCACTATCCCTCCCACTGACACCAATGATGGAGCACTATCCCTCCCACTGACACCAATGATGGAGCACTATTCCTCCCACTGATACCAATAATGGGGCACTATTCCTTCCACTGACAACAATGATGAGGACACTATTCCTTCCACTGACACAATGATGAGGCACTATTCCTTCCACTGACACCAATGATTGGGCACTATTCTTTCCACTGACACCAAGGATGGGGCACGATTCGTCCCACTGATACCTATAATGGGGCACTATTCATCCCACTGACACCAATGATGGGGCACTATTCCTTCCACTGACACCAATGATGAGGCACTATTCCTTCCACTGACACCAATGATGAGGCACTATTCCTTCCACTGACACCAATGATAAGGCACTATTCTTCATTCTAAAGGGCAGTAAACTGGAAAGTTTGGAGACCCCTGGTGTAGAGGCCAGACATTAATCCAAACAGGTCATAGCAGATATTCCATATATGAACAATATGGCCAGTGGTGGACTGACCATTTGGAAACTCGGGCACTGCCCGAGGGCCCAGGGTCAGTAGGGGGCCCCCTGAGATGCCCCTGGTACCTTTTTCATAGGCTTTTTTGAGTTTGGGCAAGGACACAGGGCCCCATGATTCCCCTATTGCCCGGGGGCCCCATGAGTTGTCAGTCTGCCCCTGAATACGACACAGTGTAGGTTTCCTGCTGTTGGTACAGATGAGGAGTGGCCGTGTCGGTATGTTTGTTCCACATTTTCTCATGCCTGGCTGGGGAGATATGCCGTAAATTCCTCTTACTTATTAACTGAAGGGAGCGTCACAGACTGCTGATCTCCAGGATCCCAGGGCAGCTTCCTCTTATGGGATTATAAATCGCCGAATCGGGTCTGATTTGCACCCCATCGATCAAAGCTAAATTGGTGCAATGAGAAGCTCCACACAATGTGACCTGATCATAGGATTCATTTTCAGAAACATTTCATAAAATTGGATCTTAGAACATTAAAGGGTCAGTCAACCCAGAACTGATATCTTAGATGCTGCAGAGAGAAACCATCTGATGTTAGGAAGGGTTCCCACCATCTCTGCACTGAGTTCCTGGGTCTGTACACCTGCTGCGCCCATTATGAGGGGTTCTCACCATCTCTACACTGAGTTCCTGGGTCTGTACACCTGCTGCGCCCATTATGAGGGGTTCCCACCATCTCTACACTGAGTTCCTGGGTCTGTACACCTGCTGCGCCCATTATGAGGGGTTCCCACCATCTCTACACTGAGTTACTGGGTCTGTACACCTGCTGCGCCCATTATGAGGGGTTCCACCATCCTGTTCTGAGTTCCTGGGTCTGTACACCTGCTGTGCCCATTATGAGGGGTTCCCACCATCTCTACACTGAGTTCTGGGTCTGTACACCCGTTGTGCCCATTATGAGGGGTTCTCACCATCCCTGTTCTGAGTTCCCGGGTCTGTACACCTGCTGTGCCCATTATGAGGGGTTCCCACCATCTCTCCTGAGCAGGTCTGTACACCCGTTGTGCCCATTATGAGGGGTTATCACCATCTGTGCTGTTCCCGGGCCTGTACACCTGCTGTGCCCATTATGAGGGGTTCCCACCATCCCTGTACTGAGTTCCAGGTCTGTACACCTGCTGTGCCCATTATGAGGGGTTCCCACCATCTCTGCGCTGAGTTCCTGGGTCTGTACACCTGCTGTGCCCATTATGAGGGGTTCTCACCATCCCTGTACTGAGTTCCCAGGTCTGTACACCTGCTGTGCCCATTATGAGGGGTTCCAACCATCCCTGTGCTGAGTTCCTGGGTCTGTACACCTGTTGTGCCCATTATGTGGGGTTCCCACCATCCCTGTGCTGAGTCTGTACACTTGCTGTGCCCATTATGAGGGGTTCCCACCATCTCTACACTGAGTTCCCAGGTCTGTACACCTGTTGTGCCCATTATGAGGGGTTCCCACAATCCCTGTGCTGAGTTCCATTATGAGGGGTCCCACCATCCCTGTGCTGAGTTCCCTGTTCCTCTGCTGGGCCCATTATGAGGGGCTGGTACCCAGGTGGACAGCAGCAGAGGTGGGAATGACGGCAGGGAGATCTCACTGTTGGAGCATACAAGACACTTAAGAAGTCAGGGGCTGACTCCGGGGACCATTGTCAACTAATAAGACATCACTTTTGGGTGGATTGGCCCTTTATGTCCCTCGGGTCCTACTCCCCAAACCAAGCCACCAGGCAGGATTACCAGTCACCTCTCTATAGTGAATCCTCAGGCAGTGGGTTATTCTCTGGCTGTATATGTGGATTGATTACCGAACATTCATATTTATTTTATATTGATTGATAAAGCCCTCCCCATTCCCTTCCAGTGAGACAACTGCCAAATGTGGGGTCTCTAGTCCCTTCCTGTCGAGACTATTGGACGGGAAGTGAATGGAAGGTCAACCAATGGGGGCAGACACAGCAATGACAGCGGTTCTACTAACCTTTACATTGCTCTATCCAAAAGTGGAACACTTGGGCTGGAGTTCCCTTTTAAGGAAATATTATCGGACTCTCATCCAATATGTTCAAGATGTTTATACTGAAGGTGATGAAGAACTAGGATCTCTGCACCCTCAGGCCTGCGATCTTCACACCACATGCATTGGGCAGTGCTGGGCAGCCTTGTCCAACATATAGACAAGACAAAAAGCCTCATCATGGAGGTCACACCATCCTGCTGATATGGGGGGCACTGGACAAAACTACAGCATGCAATCCCCTGCATCGCACCACCAGTCACATGGCAATAGAACTGAACTGTCACTTTGACATAATACTTACAATATATCTATCTATCCATCCATCCATCCATCCATCCAACTATCTAATAAAATACTTAATACACATATATATAATATTTTTTCTTAAAATCATTTTCTTACCACTGTCACAATAGTATAATCCTTACTCTCTTTCGCAAATATAATCCTTAACATATATATATATATATTATTACATCAATTTTTTACTACTGCCACATTATCTCTTACCTAAACTCTCACAATAATAATATATATATAAACTGTCACAATAATATAATTCTTATATATATATATATATATATATTCCATTTTTTCACTATTGCTACAGTGATATAATGTCATATATTGTGTATATATATATATATATATATATATATATATCTATCTATCTATATATTCAAATCAATTTCTAACTTTCTTAGTGCTACAGTAATAT